CCACAGGGGGGTCCACTTACTATACTTCAGGCCTTCCTGGAGTTCTTCCAGTTACATGGATACCAGTGGAGAATATGGGCTATCCATTGATTATCTCTTGCTCATACTCCATGATTATCATATATGATAGTTCCATTAGTATTAGCTATACCAGGTTTCCCACCTCTGAGCTACACCCATACATTGGCAGCATCGAATGGTGGAAAGAACACTGGATTTGTACATGGGACAAGCTCCAGTTCTACCACTTACTAGCTTTGTGACGTTGGCAAGTGTCCTGCAAGTTGAGGGTGAACTAGATGATCTGCACCACAGTCATATTCTATGATTCTCAATTCACATTTATACGGTGTTGGTGATTATTGTCCTTCATTCTCAAAGAGGACTAAAATGACAGCACCATGCTAGAGTCAAATTACAGTGTGTCCAACTGTGGCTGGTCTGACCAATACGAGCTTGGAATGTTCTCCCCCGGGTCGGGCACAAATAGGCCATGTAAACATTTGGGGTGGAATCTCGAAATCTGTGCATCTTGCGTTTCTTTTGAGCTGTTTCAATTCTGCTTTGCTCATAGAGCACAGCACCTTCTCTGATGTGGGGAAGCCATGCTGGGTGGTCCTGTGCCAGTGTCTCCCATGACACAATCAATTCCATAGGTCTTGAGACCTTGAGAGTGTCCTTACATTGCTTCTTCTGACCACCATGTGAACCCTTGCCCTGTGTGAGCTCTCTATAAAATAGTCTTTTTTGGCAAGCATATGTTTTGCATTCGAACATGGTCAGCCCATTGGAGTTGGGCTCTCTGAAGTAGACTTTGAATGCTTGGCAGTTTAGTTCAAGAATGGACCTCCGTGTCTTATCCTGCCAGGTGATCTTCAGAATCTTCCTAAGACAATTCAAATGGAAGTGATTCAATTTCCTGGCATGGTGCTGGTATACTGTCCAGGTTTCACAGGGATACAACAATAATGTCGCTACAACAGCTCTGTAGACCTTCAGTTTGGTAGTCAGTCTAATACCTCTTCTCTCCTACACTTTCCTTTGGAGCCTCCCAAACACTGAGCTAGCTCTGGCAATGCATGCGTCAATCTCATTACCAAGTGAACTTATCCACAGCATTCAAAACTTCTCCATTTGCGGAACCAATGGTTCCGCAAATGGATGGTATGGTGGTGGTTGATGGAGCATCTGTGTTTTCTTTGTGCCAATTATTAGGCCAAAATTAGCACAAGCAGCAAAGACTCAATCCATACTCTGCTGCATCTCAGCTTCAGAGGCTGCATGGAGTACACAATCATCTGCAAACAGAAAATCATGCACCAACACTCCCTCCACTTTGGTCTTGGCTTGTAGCCTTTTCAAGTTGAAGAATTTACACATCTGTAGATCTGACCAAGGCCTTTGATACAGTCAGCCATGAGGGCTTATGGAAAACTATGTCAAAATTTAGCTGCCCAGAAAAGTGCATCAGGGGGTGGCTAGGTGGATAGAGCACCAGCCCTGGAGTCAGGAGGACCTGAGTTCAAATCCAACCTCAGACACATAACACTCTAGCTGTGTGACTCTGGGCAAGTCACTTAACCCCAATTGCCTCATAAAAACAAACAAACAAACAAAAAGTTCATCAGCATGGCACATCAATGCCATGAAGTCACACTTGCCTTCTTTCTGGATAATGGGCAATGCTCTTGTGCTTTCACTCCATTCAGTGGAGTGAAACAAGGCCATACACAGCATGATCTTTTCAGCCATATTGTCAAATGCCTTCAATGAGGACAAACACAGCATCAAGGTCAGCTATCGCACTGATGATTCTCAGTTCCCATGTATATAGAATATCACATTTGCAAAGGCTCTTATGGAGAAAGCTGGCCTCAGAGCCAGGAAGGCCAGAGTGTATGATTTAAAGTCCCACATATCCTGACTGTGTGAGCCTAAGTAAGTCACCTAAATCTCTGTGGGCTCTGGGTAGCTTTCTATGTTGCAGAGAAGGTATGAACCTGCATTGATGGAAGCAGTTTCTTCATCCAAGAGTTCCCTGTACCAATGAAATACCAGTTCTAGTCCCTATTCAGATCCGGTTTCATGTGACCACTACAACGCACGGTACAGGGTAAGGATAATTAGTCTCATTCTACAGATGGAGAAACTGGCTCAGAAACTTGATCCAATCACATTGCTAAGCAGAAGATCCAGGACTGAAACCCAGATTTTCTGTCTAGTGCTTTTTCCATGCCCTACTGTCTGAATTTCTATTCTGGTAAGCAGAACTACTGGGGAAGGATTAATTGGGTGGCAGGCTATCAATGACAGTAACTCCCTGTAAAATGTGACTATTCAAGGGGAATCAAAACTTCCATAAGCAAAAATAGCCCCAAATGACTGGAAACCGAGGAGTTTCTTGGGCTACTTAGGTCCAGTGCTGCCACCTGGGGCCAGTATTTAAACATGCAAGTAGAAAAACAAATTAAGGAGAATTTCTAATCAAAATAGCTAACTACTTCCCTCAACCTAGAAAACATCTTTCAATTTCCTTCTTTTGTTTACATTCAACAAAATCTTTATTGTGGCCTATTATGTGAAAAGCCCATTGCCAAGTAATAAAAGACACAGAAAGAAGGCACTGCATTCTGATTCTTATGGGGCATAAATTAGGACTAAAACATCCGGAAGTTCTAGACAAGTGGTGTTAGACCAGAAGTGCCAAACCCATAGACTGCTACACTCCCGAGTGCTGCTGGAACCTGATTAAAATATAATTTGGAAATATTTAACAAAATAAATTTTAAAAATACATGTAACATATTTTAAAACTAAGTCAAGATGAGGCCTTCAGAGAACTTATTTAATGGCCTAGTGGCCCCCATTTCTATTTGAGTTTGACAACACTGGTCCAGCCAAAGCACCTAAATTGCCAAAAAGGCCAAATAATGACTGAATAATCTAGCTTTTCTTTCCACACATCTCCAGCCACAAGATAAAGATTCCTCTTTCTTCAGCTAGAGGTCTAGACTTCAGAGATTCATTTAAGCTTTGGGGCTGTATTGTTATTTACTCATTCTTTATTCTGTAGCAACTCATAGAATCATTGATGCACAGCAGGAAGAGACCTTAGATATCATCTATCCAACTATCCCATTTTATAGATGGGGAAGTTGAGGCTCTCAGACTTGTCCAATGTCACAACGGCAGTGAGATAGCCAGAATTTGAACCCAATCCTCTTTATTTCAACTCTAGCATCATTTCCATTAGGCCACACAGTCAAATCAGTCCCACTTCAGGTTATCAAGTTAAATACAAAGTTACACTAATAAAGGCTTTAGTAATCCTTTTTTTTTTTTTGCCTTTGGCAAGGTAATGAGGTGACATGGCTTACCTAGGGTTACACAGCTAGTCAGTGTCAAGTGTCTGAGGCCAAATTTGAACTCAGGTCTTCCTGAATCCAGGGTCAGTGCTCTATCCACTGTGCCATCTAGCTGCCCAATAATAAAGGCTTTAAAAATAAAAAGCTTTCTTTCATCTGATTAGTGATCCTAATGGACTATGAGTAGTTGTCTGACATTTACACACTGACAGTCAAAAGACGAGAATTCTCCTTTAACCACCACACCTTACTCTTAACTCTAGCTGTAGTTATTACTGAGCATAGGCATTGCATTTTAGGTCTACGAATGACTTGCCACACTTTTCAGTTTCCCTTGGGGGACAGAAGGTTATTCTTATGTCTGTTTCATAGATGAAGGAATCACAAAAGAGGAGTCATCACATTCCTCAAAAGACTCAGAAAAGAAGTACCTTTTACAACCATTGTTAAAGGGCAAATTAAAAAAAAAATTTATGTCTTTTGTGTTTATATCACCCTCTTTTCCAAAATATATGACCCCCCAGCATCCTTCATAGCAAAGAAGAAAGTTTAGTAAAACAAATGAACACACTGATCAAATTAAACAGCATATGCTGTGTTTCATATCCATAGTCTTCCACCTCTGCAAAGAAGAGAAAGAAATGCTTCCCCATATCTATTTTTAGGGGCTAATCCTGGTCATTATAATTACAAAGCAATCTCTTTTTGAGTTGTTGGTATAGATTATTGTATATGCTGTAAGATACAGGTGCTATGTAGGGTTTTTTTTGCTTAATTTTTTTTTCTAGAATAGGTTGGATATGTGTGTGAGGACAGCTTATTGAAAAGTCACAGTGGTTTAAAAACAGTGTCACAAATAAAATATTGTAAAAATCACATACAAAAAAAAAGACTTATAGCCTCTATTGATAAACTTTTGTTTACTCAGTTGGACCCTGATTATAATTGTTAAAATCTCTTTTCTTCTCAAGAATTAAATACTTATACTGGGGGGGGGGAGGTCAGGTGGCTACAATTTACAGGGAGAGGGGTGCTGAAAATGCAGAGGAAGATAATCAAGAAAATCCAGAACAAGAGGGCATAATAATAAGAGCCTTTATAGCAATGATCAATTGCCTTTGAGTCCTGCAGGAACCTGACATTACTACAAAGGCATTTTGTTGCTGGTAATAGAAAAACAGTGTGAACACTAGTCCAGGGAGGTAGAGATCACCAGTAGGAATCTTTAGTGTAGGGAATAGATAGGAATAGCTGACAAAGATGCCAAGAAAGCAACAAGAGAGCCCAGGACTATTGGGTGCTGTAGTTCAACACAAATATGGAAAAAGTAGAGAGATAAGGTTTTGTAGTTTGACCACTTGCAACTCACCCTTGGATGAGAGTCATTCTGCTGGATTTCTATTTTTGTCCTCCACATTAGTGCTTTGATTTCCACTAATTTCATTAGTGGTTATAGACTGACCACCCACTCTGGCTGTTATGAGAAAGAAATGTAAGCAGAGGTTAAAACAGGTGAAAGCCAGAGTGGGGAGGGGAGAAAGAAGAGAGGGGGAGTGAGAATGAAAGAGAGAGAAAGAAAAGAGAGAGAATGAACAAAGATAGAGGATGAGTCTTCATTCAATGACATACTTTAAGTAATTTCAAGAACAAAATTTTATTCTCTGCCAGTATACAAAGAGAAAAACAGCATATTAAATCATTTATATGTGTTCCTTACCCAACATTTTGAATCTTTCCTAAACAAAACATCAGACCTCAGGAAAGCTTCATAATTCAGCCTTGCACCATAAGGAAGAAAGGAAGAAGTACTTTCCACTAACAGAATGTCTTATACTTGAAAGTTGTGGTGCAAGGCACCAAGGAAAAAAAAATTTGAAAAACAAATTTCTAGGTAAAATGCAGGATTAATGTAGCAAAGATCAATGATACACAGTGGATGAAATCCATTACCTGCTTGCTGCTACCAGCACTGGCTGTCCCCAGTGGACCTGGAGATAGTGAGTACTAGAGGATAGGAACCAGGAAGGGGAAAAAAAGAGGATTTGAGAATAGGATGGTAGAACAGTCTTAGGCTGCCATTCAAAGGGTAAAAGGGACCAGTAACTATCCCCACCCCCCTATATGAATAGTCTCATTTAAACAAATAGTATAAATTCAGTCCCTTTTGGGGGAGTTCTTCACATAGGATTGCATTGATAAAAAACTTCCAAAGTTGCTGCAAAATGCCATTGTAGTCAATACGTTCAATGTTAAACTTTGCAAGTAATAGAATCAAGGGGCTATTTCCCTAGTTCTTATCCAGACCATGGTAGAGGTGTTAATATGCAAGAACATAGCAAGCAGTGGGAAGCTGGAGGGATAAGAAAGCACAGGTCTAGGTAACTGTCCCCAGAATAATCAAAAGCTCACTGCATTTGAAGAGGTTGCTCCTATTATGTTTGAAGCAGTCAGCATCACAGGGAATTAATGCAATCACTCACTCTTCCAGCTAACCCTACCCCATCCCCACACCTGGCCCTAATTAGCTTTAAGTCAGAGCAACCTATCTGCTGATGGCATCTCCCAGTTACCAAGAGCACGTGAATAACCCCTCGCAAAATTTATATGCAACCCAGGAGGGATGCCTCTGCTAATATGCTATTAGCATGCCCAAGGAAGAGGTGGATTCTGCCCAACAAGAGATGTCACTTCCTTCAGGCCCTTATAAAACACCACTGTGTATTATTAAGTCTCACTCTGCCATAAGCAATTCTCAGCTGACAGTGTCTGAAGGGTGGGAAAAGGCTCAACGTGAGTCTGGGAGATCAAAGTAGATCCAGTCACACTTCATTCCTTCCTATTGAACTCTCCCCTTCCAAAGAAGAAGCTCAAGACTGCACTAAGCAAAGGGAACAGTTGAAACAATACTCCAGAGTTTGGACAGAAGAGGGATTGGGATTTGGACTGTTAGCAGCACCAATTTTCTTCTTCCTTTTGTCCATGATAAAGTCTAGAAGCCAATTCAAGAGCTGACCCTAGGTCTTTGGAATAGGGGAGTACAAGAACCTGAAGTTCTGGTCATTTTGGCCTTGCAGCCATTTCATCACAATCATCATATTTATCCTTAGAGGGAGAGCAACAATGACCCAGGTTAAAATGAGGCTCTTATCACTAAGAAAGTTTTGAACAATGTCCCAGCAGGGTTAGTCAGCACTAAAGGTTGGGAAAGGAGGCTGACATCTTTCCAATAAGAGCCCTTTGTTCTAAGGGCATACAAAATACAGATTTAATGTATTTCCTCCGAGTGTCTGTTGAAAAGATAAGCTATCGAAAGATGTGCTTAGAATGGTCAAAATCTTGTGGTTGCTTGCAAAGGTTTTATTTGTTTGTTTGAACCCAATCCATTCCTACCCTCTAATAAAAGATTCTCTTATCAGCAGTTCGTCAAATTGGCCCCCATGCCTGGTAGCATCAGCCATAGGGCCACTAGAAAGGAGTGGATGTTTGTAGATTCAGCAGGCTTTTCTGCCAGAAAACCCTGAGTGGAAAGACTGAGAAATGGGCTTGTTAGATTCAGCACCCTACAGCTTTGCCTTGAAATAGCTTGGCATGCCAGAGCGAATCAAGGGGAGAAAAAGGCAGGAAAGACTTCTGGGAGAAAGCTGTAGCACTGGATCGAAAAGTAGGTCTGAGTTAGGAGTCCTCTTCCATTTATCTCAGCAGGGCAGCTACCTGTAAGAAATATTAACAGATGTCAGCATTACATTGTGCAACTAGTACCTAAATGAGAAGGAAACAGGATGTCACCTGGGATTGGGAAGCATTAAAAGAAAATGCCCACCAACATTTTACATACTTTACTGGGCTGGGGTTCCACAGTGACTAAGTTCAGCCAGGCAGAGATGGCAGAGGTGGCAGAAGTGGCTAGGATGAACGTAAGAGAAGCAGGGACCCTCAGCATTGACAGCTAGGGAATATGAAAAGCTGAAGCAAAATATTCCTTCCTCAGTCCAGAAAAAAACCTGGGACCAGGTGGCTGGCACAAAGTCCTCACGGTGGGGACTCTGGGGTTTATGCGTGATGGGTGATAGGGCCCTTGTGTTCATCCTGAGGGCTACAGTTGAGAGCTGCCAGCTCGGCATTTTCTGGGGATAACCAGACAATTATTCTCAAGATAAACAATAGTTCCATCTGTCTTAGGGAGTAAACTCAAGTGTCTGGGAAAGGGAACTACAAGTCCTGCCTGTAGTGCTCCCTCCTGGGTAGCACAAGGGCCATGGACTCTTTCAGCGTTGAGACTAAGTTACCTTGAGAACAAAACTTTTAAACAGTTTTATCCTTCCTCTGGGCCATAGCACCCCTTCACCTATCGAGGGAAGCAATGTAGTGGATATCTTACCCCTGGAAAAGTCCTCAGCCATGGTACTATGATATATCACATATGAATAAGGCAAAGGCATTCCCACCACCTCCCTCTGCAATACACCCAGATGCACATTCAATTCCTTCAGTGATGATTTTGAAAATAATTCTAGGAGAAAGAGGGGAAGGTTGTTCTCAAAGCCTACTGTTTGTCCCTGACAGAGAGGAATCTAATTTCCCAGTCATCACTTCAATTAGGACTCTCTCTCTTTTTTTTTTCCTGGCTAGGCAATGGGGTTAAGTGACTCACCCAGGGTCACACAGCTAGTAAGTGTCAAGTGTCTGAGGCCGGATTTGAACTCAGGTCCTCCTGACTCCAAGGCTGGAGCTTTATCCACTGCACCACCTAGCTGCTCCCTAGGGCTCTCTTTTTAAAGTGGGGAAACTGGTGTCCCTATAAACTGGGACTGAGTTATGCAATATGCAACTTGATTGTAGAGGCAGCACTGCAGAGTGGCAGAATGGACAGTGTTGGACTTGGTGTCAGGAAGAACTAGGCTCAAATCCAGCTTCTAGTGAAGGACTGAAGGTGCCAAAAGAGATATCAATTTTTGGTACGGCAAATAAGCAGATTTGTTTTACTTGACTATACTTGCTTGTTCCAAGGACTCTGTTTTTATTTTTTATTTGGAGGGATAAGTTCAAGGGGAAAGCTAGTAATCAGGTTGTAAAAAAAAAAAAGAAAAGGAAAAGGGTCATTGAAGGATGTTTTAAAATACACAGAAGAGAAATGAAGAAGTGGAAGAGACAAGCAGGACATGTTTGGAAGTAACATGTTGAAAATATTATAAACTTTTTTAAAAAGCAAGCAGTACTTAATAGCCATGCATGTTTTTGCAGATAATCTTCTATTTCTGCTCTACTGTGAATATGCAAGTGGTTTGTTTGGGGAATATTTATTAATTTCAGAATTAAAAAAAAAAAACCCTGCCCATAACCAGGAGGCATTTGCTAGCTAGTTGACCATGGACAAGGCCCTTCACCTCTCTAGGTCTCAATTTCCTCATCTGTGAAAAGGTGTTAATAAATAATACCTATACAAAGTGACATCAAACTCAAAAGAAAAATGGATCCTGGTCCCTGCTGCCATATACTAACTTAGAAAACCACAACTTAACATTAGCTATGTTGTATTATATTTTTATTTGTTTTGCTAAACATTTCTAATTACACTGTAATCTGGTTCTGGCTGAATTGGGGAGTTCTGTGTCCCAACAAGTCTGACACCTCTGCTTAGAATGTTTCTTCTCAGGGTTGTCAGGAGGCTCAAGTGAAGGAAGATGCAGAAGGCTCTTTGCAAACTTTAAAGCCCTATGAAAATGTGAGTGGTTACTATAATAATCCCCTATTTTTGTTAGCTGACATGCCTTGAGATATCTGAGCATATAAAGAATTATATTAATAATATAACTAACATTAAATTAAAATATTCTATTGATATAGTATTGATATAAGTTTGATAATAACTATAACTTGCAATGGCATTAAATATATACAGACTTATATTGTTAATATTATATTAATTCTTAATGTTAATTTGTGTTGAGTGCAATGACCCTTCTGAGAAACCAAGAGGACAAACTTTAGGAAGGAAAAAAAGGACTCTAAATAGTTAAGCTATAATGACTAATGAGTAGCCATGAAAGTGACTAAAGAAAAGGGCCATCCTTTATGAAACTCAACTGAAGCAGCCACTCACTCTTCCCAAGCACCCATCGGCTTGAATCTAAGGTTGAACAGAGAAGATCAGTGGTTCCTAGCCAACAGGTGTTACAAAAAAGAGTCTACAGACTAAGAAATGTTTCCCTGTTTTCTGGCCACAACACATACATAAACTTGCCAGTTCAAACAGGAAGGAAACTAGGTGTGCTAGAGTAGAAAACAGGCTGTACTTGAGGGAAGGAGACCTGGGTTTAAGTTCTGGGCTTCAATCACTGGCCAAACGACTTTGGGCAAAACATTCTCCTCTGTGGGCCTCAGCTTCCTCATCTGTAAAAAGGAGATAATGATGATACCTCCTTTACCTAACCTACCTCACTTAAAGCACCTTGTAAACTAGGTGCTGCACAACTGTATGCTGCTATTATTATTATTACCATGGCTCTTTCCCTGCTAATGCTCTACCAGTTCAACAAACTATCTCTCCATACTTTCTGTCCCCAAACACATTTTATGTTCGCGTGTGTGCATTGTGACCCATGTGACCCATGAAGATCTTATGAACACCCTTAAGTGAACTTGGTGGCTTAAGAGACACAGACAATTAGGGATAGAAGGCACCTTAGAAATAGAACCAGAGAATGTCAGCATTGGAAGGGACCTTCAGACATAGTCTAATCTGACTTTCTTATCTTAAAGAGGAGGCAAATGAGAAGGAAAGTGACTTGCCCAAGGTCATACTGCTCATCTTTCCCAGAACTGAGACTAGGAGCCAGGACTCTGAACACTCCCTCGGGGCTCTTTTCACTACTATCCTATTGCCTCAACAGATCTCTTCTGTCAGGCCAATCAAACCACCGCTTATCTACTCCAAACAGCCACAAACTGCTAGAAACCACTGTCACTCTCTCCTACCAATGAGATGGGCAGTCTGCTAAAAGTAGGCCCTGGGGGGGGGGCGAGAGAGCAGAGGTGTACATCACCTAGAGTTTGGAAGTTTCAGTCCCCAACAACATCATGTGATTGTTGGCGGAAGTCAGCCAGTTCCCACCATCCACCACCAGGACTGTGCCTGTCACATAGGATGCTAATGGGCTGGCCAAGTACAGTGCACTGTGGGCAATCTCAGTCTTGTTCCCCAGTCTCTGGAGAGGGCTTCCCAAAATATTTCTCTCCACCCGATGGCCACCTGAAAAGAAAAACAGGAGAAAGAATTAGGGGGTCCAAGTCACATGTTCACCAGTAAGGCTGAAGAATATGTGTAGGAAGGGGAAAAGGGAAAGAATACAAAGGCACAATTCTCCACACTGTCAACAATTCCATATTGAATCATGTCTAGGACAGGTACTAAATATTAAGGACTGAAAAATAATAATGTGACTGAATTAAAACAGGGTTATAACCCTTAGAGAAATCAGACATCTGTCAGGAATTTTCTAGAAGCTAGTCTAGGGCTTCATTGGCTTCCCAAGAGTGACTTCCATGGAAGAGGTGTCACAAAAAAAAAAATACTGTCAAGAACACTTATGACTAGAAAAGGAGGCAGGTAAGTCATGCAGCAAGAATAAGGGATAATAGCCATGCGCTGCCCTCATATTCATGAAATAGCAAAAGAACCAGAGGAAGGCCTCCAGTATGTTTGGTAGATTGTCTGTAGGGGATATGAGGAAAGACATGGCCAAAATCAAATATCACACAGAATGAAGTACAGAAAGGTGGTGACCCTCACCATCAGAGTTAGCATTCACATCAACAAGATTGGGTATTGAAGTACACTCAAAGGCTAGAGGGTAAAGAAAATATTCACCTCTATAGGGCTTGCAAATATTAAAGGCTGTGGACAACAGTAATTTTCCAGCTGAAAACCTCCAAGAAAACAGAAGAGCATACCACTAAGATCAGGGATTCTTAAGCTTTTTTTATGTCATGGTCTCCTTAGCAGTTTGGTGAAGCCTCTGGAACCTCTTTTCAGAATGACATTTTAAAAAATTTACAACTAGAGCAAATACTAAATTTTATTTAGAGGTCATTGAAAAAAAGGTCTCAAGTTGAGGAAGTGGCAAAGTCAGTACTTGAACCCAGATCTCTGGTTTCCCAGTGTTTTTTAACTACACCATACTACCTCTCAACAAGTGTGTGAAATCACAGGTAGGTAGGAGGAAATTCAATAAAACTGGAGATGCTGTTCCCATGGCCTTGCCTTACCAAGTCGACGCATCCCTTCAGTGCCACTGATGGGGCCTGGAGCCAGGCTATTAACTCGGATGTTGTGGTGACCCCACTCCACAGCCAAGTGCCTTGTCATTGCATCTGCAAAGGGATAAAAATAGAGAGATGAAAAAAGTTTCAAGAACACCTCAACAGGTTCAAGTAATGGTCAAGGAAGGGGAAAGGGGGCTATATGTATCACAGCAAGGGGGGAACACAAGACAAAAGTGAGGGTAGGAAACAAAGGCCAGTGTAGTTCTCACCCAGGGTAAAAGGAAGAACAGTATAAAGAAGAAAAAGAATCTGACTTGGTTGAAGGGGGTCAGGCCTGCCAAGTTCTTCAAGCTGCTGCATGAAAAAGCAACCTTTTCTTTTAGAGGAAATCTTATAGAGTAGATAGAATTCTGGGACTGAAGTCAGGAAAACATGGGTTCAAATCCCACCTCTGACACTTATTAGCTATGGAACTATAGGTAAGTCACTTAACTTCCCTGATCTTCAGTTTCTTCATTTGTAGAATGGGGATGATAATAGTTGCAGTATCTACCTCAGACCACTGCTATGAGGATCAAAGGAAATCGTAGATCATGTATTATATAAAAACTTTGAAAATTTTAAAGCACTATAGAGGGTGTCCCCAAAGTTTTAAACTTGAGGGTATTTAGCTTCAAACTGCAAATACACTTGTAGGACACCCTGCATGAATTGTGATGACTGTTGGTACTGCTGTGGCTCTCAGAAGTGAAGGAGCCAGGGGATGTGGGACAAGAGGGAGGAAGAGCCTCATAGAGAGCGGGCCATACCCACAGCTGCCTTGGCAGTGCCTGCATGCACCTGGAGCGCCTGCCCTCGGTAGTCCAGGGTAGCAGTGATGTTAATGATCACACCACCATGGTCCTAAAACAGCCAGGGGAAAGAAAGTCAGAGAAAAAGCCAGAAAAGCCCCCAGGGACTCCCACATGTCAAAGATTGGCAAAAACCTACCTCGAAGTACTTTTCAAACATGACTTTGGAGACATTGAAGGTGCCAATTGTATCAATATCGATTACAGTTTTGTATGCATTGAAGGACATGTTGCTGGCTGCACACAAAAAATTACCTGCTGCACCTAAAGAAGAAAAGTGGGGGGAGAGAAAATGCAAAGCACCCCCTAAGCAGCCACTCTGGGAGAGCGAACATCCAGAATTCCATACCTTTTGGGTCCCTCTGTGTTGTTTGGTGAGGCATCTTAAACACAACATGTCCAAAACTGAATTCATTTCCTTTCCCCCAAAAATCTCTTCTCAACTTCCTTGTTACTGTAGAAGGCCCTACCCAGTACCCAGGTTCATAACCCAGGTGTCTTCCTCAACTCCTCACTCTCTCACCCCCCATATCCAATCAGCTGCCAAGTCCCGTTGTTTCTATCTTGGTAATAGCTCCTGAGTAGGTACCTCGCCTCCCCAGTACAGTGATACAGGCCTCCCTCGCCTGGCACCTAGACTATTGCAACTGCCCAGTGGTGGGCACCACAAGTCTCTCCCTACTCCAGTCAATCCTTCACTTGGCTGTCAAAATGATCTTTCTTAAGCTCAAATCTGACAATGTCACCTCCCCATTCAATGTATTCCAATGGCTCCCTGTTACCTCTAGGATTAATTATAAAATCCTTTGTTTGGCTTTTAATGTCTTTCACAACCTGCCTCCTCCCCTCCCCTCCTCCCATCTTTCCAGTCTTCTAACAACTTAGTCCCCTCTGCAATCCAGTGACATTGATCTCCTGGCTCTTCCTTGAACAAGATACTCAACTCCCAACCCAGGGTATTTTTACTGTCTGCCCCTCCTCATCTCTTCCTCAAGTCTCAGTTAAAGTCTCACCTTATGCAAGAAGTCTTTCCCAGTCCCCTTTAATCTTAGTGTCTTCCCTCTGAGATTATCTCCAATCTATCCTGCATATATATATGTGTGTGTGTGTGTATAGATATATATAATATATATATGTATACTATATCCTGTATATATGCTATACAGTGTCTTTAAAGTCTCAGCGCAGTTTTAAACTGCTAAAGCTTAACACTACACTCAGACTTTTGAGACACTCTGGATAGAGAAACTTAGCCAGCTAGAGAGAGGAGATAAAGAGATAATCTTATTTGTGGGGGTTTTTTGGGTGTGTGTATTGTCTCCCCCATTAGACCGTGACCTCCTTGAGGGCAGGGATTGTTTTTTGCCTTTTTTTATATCCCCAGAGACTAGCTCAGTACCTGACATATAGAAGACACTTAATAAACACTTATTGACTTGACTTCACTTAGTCCCTACATCTCAAGAAAGCTAAAATGGAACTGGAGAAAATTCAAAGATGGACAAATGAAACCTTCATATGACCACAAACTAAAATGATTAGGGATTTTCACTCTGCAAAGACAAAGGCTAGAAGAGGTCCACGAAGTAAAGAGACTAGGGTGAAGGAGTCTTGTAAAATGGAAAAAATATTGGACTTGGAATCAGAAGGTCTAGGTTCGATTCTGCTTTAACCGACCTTGAGCAAGTCACTTAACCACTCTGGGGCTCAACATTCTCAGCTATAAAACAGGAGAATGGTATTCACGCTACCTATGTCACAAAGTTGTTTTGAGGAAAGTGCTTTGTAAATCTTAACTTGATAAAGCGATGTGAGCTAACAATAACAGTAAAAATAAGCCTCAAAGAATTATAGAAATGAGTCATTATTATCATTACAAGCACCCACTGACAGGGTAGCAAAGGTTTTCTCCCATGTGAGGGAGCATGGCCTAGCATAGGGAGTAAGGTGTAGACTAGAGGGCTGAGAAAACAGTTCTGTGCTCCCTACCCAGACCTATGAAGAGAATGCAAGCAGCCTGCCCAATGCCTTATCTACTGAACCCTGTCTCAGGAGATAATCAGATTCCAGAGAAAATCTGGGGGTTGTACAGGTCAGGTCTGGGGCTCTGGTTACATCTACAAGCCATTTGTTCATTCGACAAACATATTTAATAAATATGAAATTCTTACTCAGTGGCTCTTACTGCTTCTAAGATAAAATAGATATCTTCTATATTTGGTTTTTAATGCCCTTCGCAACCTGACCCCAAGCTATCTGTCCAGTCTCATTATATATTCTTCCCCTTCCTGTACTCAATTCAGCCCAAATAGCCTTTTCTCTGTTCCTCACACAGGACACTCCATCTACCAGCTCCAGGCCTTCACACTAACCATACCTCATGCCTCGAACACATTCCCTCTATCCCTTCTGGATGTAAGTCTTCTAGACTTTCAAAGCCCAACTTTGGCATGACCTCTCAATGAACAATTCCCTAAACCTGACAGCTTCAAGTGATCAATCTCTCCCCTTCCCTGGTCTTTCATCCCTATTTGACTTTTTTTTTAACTTTTGCTATATACTTACCACAGTTTAACTTTTATTACAATTCTTTGTGAACATCTATCTTATTGCAAAGCCTTTAAGGAAAGAAGACAGGAATAAAAACTGACTCCTCACCCTACCAGAGCAGTATGAATGCCAGTCTATGTGTGAGGAGCAAAGAGCCAATTTCCCCAGAAAGTCTATGGTGCCCTATGAAGACAGCCAGAGAAATGCTCTCACTTTCCTTGTCACCCATCACAGTCATTCAGGTACCATCTGGTCCAATTGGCTGGCTCTTTAGGCCCTTTCCAGATTAATGGGATTCAATGGAAAGAGCACTCATTTAGAGTCAGAAGGTGTGGGCTCTATCGTTCAGCTACCTGGGTGACTTGGAAAATGCACTTAATCGATCTGAGAGTCAGTTTTCTTATTGGCAAAATCTATAAAATTACAGAATTAGATTACCTCTAAAGTCTCACTCTAAATCCTATTACTTTATGACTCTTTTTACCTTTGAATAAAGATATACTTCGCACAGTGTATTTCATTCATTCAATAAAGCATTTTTACTATATGCATGGTTTTGTGCAAGGTGCTAGAGATACAAAGACAAAATGGAAAAACAGTCCCTCCCCTCAAAGAGCTCAGATTTGACTAGGAAAATACATTTACACAGATAAGTACAAAATAAATCGATAAGGAATTATGTAACAATGTGGACTAATATAATCTGAATTATTGCTGTTGCTTCTACTAATGTTAATTATAATGACCATGAAATCTCTTCCTTCAAGGAGATAAAATCATGTTTCAAGGTATATATGTATACACACATATATATACACACGTATATACACATACACACACTCCCAAAAGGGCAATTATCAATACTGGCATCTGTGTATCTTATTTGTACTGGGTACAATCCTGCAAATGTTTACACTCCCACAGAAAATGGACCTATAGATTCAGGTCCAGGGACTAGGAAGAATTCTCATCTCTGGGTGAAGCCAATCCAAAATAAAAAGAAACCAAAATAGGAAAAGTCGCTGTTAAGGTGATGCCTATTATTAGATTAATAAATCACTTCCTGGAGAATACAGTTGCTTGTAAGCTCTTTCTTGCATCCTTGAACAAGGTAAGAAAATGTGGGTGACCTTAAGCAATCAGTTCAATAAGCACATGTTAAGAATACAAATCAAGCACTGAAAAATACTGAGAGGCAGCATGGTTCTGTGGATAGAAGAATGGCCTCAGAGTCCCAGCTGAGTTCAAGTCCCTGCCCTAACACATACTGGCTATTTGACACTGAACAAATAACTCAGTCTCTTAGAGCCTAGAGGTAACTTTCAAAAGAGAGGGATTCTTAACCTGGGATCTACAGACACCCAAAGTGTCTGTATGTGGATTTTAGGGGGTCCATGCAATAGAATGGGGAAAAAATTACACCTTCACTTTACCAATTTTTGTTTACCTTTGTAATCCTATGCATTTTGTGCATTTAAAAACAACATTCTGAGAAGCCCAAAGGTTTCGACTGTTAAAAGGATCCATCACACAGAAAAAAGTTAAAAACCTCTGCTCTAAGATAATAAGTTACAGAATAGCTACTGATAGCCCCAAGCAGACGGAGTTTCCTACACCAGTGAAATCACAGGTCCAATAAAAACAAAATGCTTTCTGACCAAGGGTCAGTCCCTTTGATAGCTCTCTTGCCCCTAAAATTACAACTCAAATGGTCTCTGGAGAGCAAGGGCAGGATGCTGGGCCAGAAGCCCTTTGCCCAAGTAAAACTCTACATGAGGTTAAAATAAAACCTTGATAAGAGAACTTGCCAACTGTTTTTCCCTTCACTGACAGTTGTGGCCTCTGTAGGCATCCCAACAGGACTTCTCTTTCCTAAATATTTTCAGGTAATAGAGCACCGGCCCTGAAGTCAGGAGGACCTGAGTTCAAATGTGCCCTCAGACCAAACACTTGACACTTAACTAGCTGTGTGACCCTGGGCAAGTCAGTTAACCCCAATTGCCTAAAAACTAAAACCAAAACTAAATATTTTCAGGTCCTTAGGATCCTTCCCAAGGGCCCTTATCCTGCTTTATTTGGGAGCAGCCTCGTCTTGGCCTCAGCCTCAGCCTTCCATGATGCAGGCTAGCCCAGGTGAGCAGTTTGGTATACCCACATCAGACACACTCTCCTTGATTTAGAACCAATCTTGTCCAGATGGCTTTTCTGCTGGGCCACAGATCCTGTGTAAAGTTCAGGAGATAACCAAGGAGAAGGAATAAAAGGCCTAGGCCTTCTCCTCTTAAGATTGCCTTGTATCTACTTTGTACCCTTTGTATACTTATTTGTTCACATGTTGCCTCTCCCACTAGACCGTGAGGTCCTTGAGGGCAGGGCCTGAATCCAAGTTTTACAGAACAAATCCTTTTATTAAGGGGATTTGTTCTGTGAAGTCTGGATTTGGTCAAAGGACAGAATTTTAGTACCTAGAGGGCTACATGTGGCCTTGAGGCTGAAGGTTCCCTACCCAGAGAGCTCACATAGAAACAAACTCCTTTAACAATTACAAGTATGAAAGGAAAGGACTGCCTTGGGAGGTTACGGGTTTCTTATCACTGAAAGTTTTCAGATAGAGACTAAATGACTATGTGCAGGGAGTGGGGGTGGGAGATCTTATATAGGTATAATTTAGACTAGCTACCCTCTAAGGAAGGGTGGTACAGTGGAGAGACTGTTAGCTTCGAAGTCAAAAGACCTAAAGTTCAAATCTTAACTTTGCTATTTAATACCTGTGTGACTTTGGACCTCAGTTTCCCTATTCTGTAAAATGAAGGCGCTGGACTAGATAATCTCTAAGATCTCTTCTTAGTTCTAAATACAGTAATCCTTAAATTTCATATGCTATTTCAAGCCCTTATGAAGCCATGTGCTAAAAAGGAAGTGCTCCTTCGGTTCATTCCACTGAGGATCGAGGCCCTTCGTTCTCCCTCGGGCTGAACTCACCATTGATGAGAATGTCAATCTTGCCAAACGTCTTCAGAGCCTCATCGACTGCAGCAGTAACGGTCTGAGGCTGCCGGACATCCAGAGACAGGGCAAGGCACTGCTGACCAGTAGCAGCAATCAGTTTCTTGGCCGCCTGCACCAGGAGACAACAGAAGCTATCTGGGCACTGGCCTATCATTTCTACCCCCACTATAACGTACCTGCAGTGACACCCAGAAGAGAGAGCTTGGAATAGCAAAAAGAACAAGCAGCAAAAGACGTGCCTTCACGTCACGGCTCTGCCGCTTACTAATAGTCCCTCCACTTCTCTAAACCTATTTCGTCATCTGAAAAACAGGATAATACAAGTAGCCTGACAATACCTGATTAACTCACAGTTTTAGGCAACGTATGTAAAGCTCTGCATAAACCAGACTCTTCATCCCATGAAGAAATTCACGGAAGAACGAGAGCAGGAGATTAGGAAAGAAAATCTCGAGTCTCTGCTGGCTCCGCCAGTAACCTAAAGGACAAGCTCCCTTTTGTTTTCCTTACAATAAAATAAGTTTGGTAGCACCCAGGACACTGGGCTCTATGGAAAAAGTTTTCCCTTCCCAGGTGCTATAGGTAAGAAAAGAAATAATCCACCTCTATCCTCTTCCACCCACAGGACTTCAACACATATGCTACAACTATCACAAAGCATACCAGTAACTCAATAAAAAAAGCCAAGGAAGGCAGCCAGGTGCATTGGGAAAAAACACTTAATTTGCGAGCCAAGAGACCTGAGTTTTAATCCATATTCAGACATTCAATTAGCTATGTTGCTGAGGGTAAGTCATTTGACTTCTACAAGCCCCAATTTTCTCATCTGTAAAATGGCAGGAATGTTTACATTCTCTACCTGACAGAGCTATAAAGATGAAAATGTTTTGTAAACTTTAAAATGTTAATAATATTAAGGGGGACATCTGGAAAGGAAGAACCCAAACATAAGCAACAAGGTTTGGGGTCACAATGTCTCAAAACTCCACAATAAAGAGGAAACAGTCAGGTGGTGCCACCATCACACTCTTATCCCTGAACCTCTAGAGGCCACTGGCTAATCCACAGTCCAGGAACAGAGTGCTACTATATCTACAATGAGCCCTGGAGACATAGGTACTAATCAATAAGGAGAATGAAGAAAGCAAAGTCCCAGCTGTCAGGGGGATCCCACTCACATCGGACACCTTTTGCTGGTTTCTGCTAGCAATGACAGTCTGGCAGCCATGCCTGTAAAACACGGACAGTTTAAGTCAACAAACACCAGGAATGGGAGCAGAGGTGGGAGACACCAAAAGGACAAGATCAAAGAGTAAAGAGAAAGAAACAAAACATAATCAGGCATTCCTCCCTTCTTTATCACTTATCTGAGAGGGCAGCCTGGATAGGCTTTCTTACAAAAGGACCTATGAATTAAAAGCATCATCCCCCAGAAGCAAGCAAAAAAGCAAGGAGGGTAGGACAGGAAAGGGGCTGGGGCCTGCGTAAGGGTCAAGTGGGCTAACAGCCAAAGAGTAGTGCTGGGTTAGGATTAGTTACCGGCATCTGGAATCCTCCGTTAAATATCCACCTTACGTGGGCTGTCCTGGTCAATACAAAGATCCATTCTCCCCAGAACACAATGCTGAGCACTTTAGTGACACAGACCCCTCTCTGCTCCATCCTCCACAAGGACCACCAATTTAGAGCTTAGAAATTTGCATCACACCTCGTTTGAACATTGTGCCCACAATGCCACCCCAATTCCTTGCCACACTGGACTGGTGATACAGGAGATCCCCATAGCATTCTCTTAGGTATTCATCATATTCTACTTTAATTATAATTATTTATATGTATTTTGTATCACCCTAGAGAGAGTACTCTTTGAGGACAAGGACTATGACGTTCATCTTTGGATACCCCAGCACTTAGCATAATTATTTGCACATAATAAGTGCTTAATAAACACTTATGAAATCAAATTCAATTTGTTTGATCCACACATATGCCTACCAAAATCTATCCACTTTGTTCTGAGCTTCACACCTCTGAGCACCATCCTGTAACTATTAAATCTCTTGTTCTGTGGGCTTGACTCTCCTGTGAAAGCCACAGAATCCTAGAATTGAAAGGGAGCTGGTAGATTAGCTAGTCTAATTCAGTAAGTCAATCCACTACACCAGAAGTTTCCAAACTTTCTCAGTGCCTTTATTGTCTTAGTAATTTTTCCATGGAATCGTTAGGTTAAAAGAAATATGTAATAGTTACATTTCTTAATTAGGTTAAAAATTTTAAATATCCAGCAGTGCCCCTGTGAGTTTGCTGCACAGCTTGGGAGTTGTGACTCTAAACAAGGGGTTACTTAGTCTTTGCATAAAGTCTTTTAGGTATGGGGTATTCACAACTTCATTTGAAGACCCATTCCATTTCTCCATTAAGAAGTCCTACATATTGAGAAGAAATTTCTCTCCCTGCATTTTCTACCTATTGGCACAAGTTGTTCCATCAAATCTAAGCTAATTCCTCTTCCATATGATAGCGCTCCAAATAGTATAAAATGGTGAGTTAGGGACTTGAGAATGCAAAGACATAAACCACACAGACCCTGTTTTCAAGGGGCTTTAGACGTATGGAAGGATAAGACACATATACAAATTTTTAAGGAAAAGGACAAGCAAAGTGCTACAAAAATCTGAGGAAGGTGGGGTCACTGTTGGTTGAAAATATCAGAGAAAGTGGCAGCTGAGTTCAGTCTTGAAGGTAGGGAGAGGCTTAAACAGGTGATGGATAAAAGGTGGAGTAGGAAGTCCATTCCAACCATGGGAGGGGAGGGGAGCAAAGATAAGGGGGAAGAAGGAAAGGTCAAGAGAACCCGGAATGGAAAGATCCACCAGGAACTTTTGGGACCATCAAGTTTGATCCTCTAGAGAATGAACATGAATATGTGACTTGACTGTGGAAGGCCACAGTGAGACTGTCAACCCTCCCTCTGCCTATTGTGGACACTATACTTGTGTTGGCACAATCCATTATCACATTAAATTTTGTTTGTTTGCTATATCACACTATTAACTCATTTCAAACCATCCATACCAGGGCTTGGCAAGCCATGCCACAAGCACCACTGAGTTTGGGGGTGCAGGGATCTCTTCTTTTATCTCCCTGCCTCCACATGGCCCTACTTCTTCTCTGAATTCCTTGCTTTTTGCACTTAACAGTTATCTGCACCAAAGGTACTAAAAAAAGTTTGCTTAATCAAATTTTTTGTTTCTCTTTTCTTTGAAAGTACTTCTGTGCCTCTCTACTCATCTTCACATGGTCTATTTTGTACCAGTTTTGAAGACAGCTGTCATATGCTCCTAGTAGGTTGCAAGTTACATGAGGGCAGGGACCAAGTCATTTTAATCTCTATCTGTCCCCAGCCCCCATTCTTCTGCACTCAGTAGATGTCTAAATATCTGTTCAAATTCTTATCCTTATGCATGCCTTGGCCCTACCAAACGCCAATACCAGGACAATTCCCAGGGCCTCTTAGAGGTAAACAAAATGTTGAGTCCTGGCCAGGCCTCACAAACACCACCACAGACTATTTACACAAAACACTCAACACATGTAACATCCTGCACATAAGTCTGCTAGCAAAACTCTTTATCCTACTTGGAAGGAGTAGGAAGGAAGCGAGGGGAAACTTGGCCCAGCTAGAATGATTCAAAGCAGTCTGTGTACAGAGTAGCTGGGGAAAACAGCCTCTTCTTTGTGTCCCCCTGGGAAGAAAGGCAAGCAGTAGGATGAAATAGAGACCAATCCAACTTGTGGCCCATCTAGAGAGCAGGTAGGTCCTCTCTGCCTTTGCAGAAGCCATCCCCAAGGCCTGGAATGCACTCCTTCCTCACGTCTGCCTCAGAATCCCAAGTTGCCTTCAAGGCTTCTCATGTTATACCTCCTCCAGGAAATCCTTCTTGATCCCCAAAGCTGATAGTGCTGTTTCCTTCCTCAAATGATCAGGCATATATACCTATCTATTTACATGTGGTATCCTCTCCAACAGAATGTAAGCTTCTTTAGGGCAGGGGCTGTTTTTCATCAACTTTGTATTCCCAGCACTTTGTGTAATACCTTGTACATAGAAGGCGCTTCATAAATGTTTGCTGTATGTGAGATACAATAAGCTGCATCCATACTGTGTGTAATGCTGTGGTAACATCGAGGGCACTTAGCAGGTCCAGAAGTTACAAATCTCTCTTTCCTCTTCACAAGTTCATGGAGATGCCCTTCCTGCCCCAAAGATACCATGTGGTCTTTAGCCTCGACAACCTGCATTCTTTGGCTAGCTGAATACCACTAGGCCATCGACCATAGTCTTGCCTCTTGTTTTGCCACCGGGCTTTGATGACTCTGGAGGAGAGAGTGAGGCTGATGACTTTGCACAGCTCCGCCTCACTTAAACCCAATCCATTCCCAAGTCAAGACACTGAAAACAAACGATGAACAACAACACAATACCAGTTCGGAGAGTATTTGCACATCGTGTTATGGCTTTCAAACTTTTTTTTGTTCATTATTCCACTTGATCTCCTCAAGAAGCCTATCAGGTGAGTAGGGCAGGGACCATTATACCTATCTTATGCTCAGTTCAACTTAACAAAACATTCATTAAGCACCCTTTATGTGCAGAGAACCTTGCTACAAACTAGCAAATAGACAAAAGTGACTAAGATACTCTGCAGCCACAGAGTTTACAGCATAGTAGGGAGACATAACACACGTAAAACACTAGAATATAATATAAACCATGATAAATACATGAAAGAGGAAGTCCTACACGAGGCCGAAGGGAAGAAAGGTCGTTTACCAACAATGGGACAGGGGGAATAGGATCAGGCAAAGCTTTTTGGAGGAGCACTGGCATTTCACTGGCCTGGAAAGGACTGCCAGGAAATTCAACCTGCAAGGGGTCAGGAAGGGAATTCTAAGCACAGGGAACAGCATGAGCAAAGGCACAGAATCAGAAAGCACAAGGTGAATACAGGAGAGAAAGAGTCATCCAATCATAAAGGAAAAGTAAATGGCAGGAGGTAAATGGAATGATAGGATGGTGACAGACTGTATACAGCCTTAATGCCAGGCAAAGGACTATGAGTTTTTCCAGGAAAGCGATATGAAGTCACTGAAGAATTGGTAAAGGAGTGGCATAATCAGCTGGATGCATGAAGATGATTACTCTGGCAAGAAGGATATCAAGAGGGCGAAAGAAAAGGGCACGAAGCCCTGTAAGGAGGCTATTGTAGTAATGCCAGCTGGTAGTAATGAAAGCTTATCCTCGGCAGTGGGAAGGGAGAATGGAGCAAATGGAGAGATTCTGCAGAACGAGAATCAAGGCAATCTGGTAACTGACATGATTTGAGAAGGGCAATGGCTGGGGAAGACGAGAGTTTGTAGGCATTGAGGGAAGCCCCTGCAGAGGGATGGACAATTTAGTGAAGGAGTAAAAAGCAGCCACCAAACGTGAATTTGTCCAGTCCTGGGTGAGCAAAGGCTGTCAAGACAGTGGAGGTGGAAGCTAACAGAGACATACCGCATGAAAATTTCTGCAATTCGGAACCCAATTCCCGAGCCTCCTCCAGTGATAAAGGCCACTTTGTCACTGTGAAGAAAAGAAAATCCCTTCAAAAAATGTCACAGAAAATTACATGTTGTAGTTATTACATGCTTAAAAAGAAAAGCAAGTGACTATGCATATCTGTTAGAAGAGAGCTTTTAATTTTTTTCCAATGGGGATGGGAGGAGATGGGAAGGAGAGGAATAGCAATAGAGTAGAAAAGGAAGTAAGGATGTTGGGAGGAAAGTAAGGAAGGAAGAGAGGCTCACTGATTATCTTATTAAAAAATGCACAAAAGGCCAGAAAAAAGCACAGACCAGCAGAATAGCTTTGAAAGATACATGTTGAATTTACTATACATTTTAAAAGAACTGCAAGCTGCACTTAATAGAGAGTAATGGTGTCATGTCCCACCTCGTTTTCCTTTTCTACTATGCACATGGAAATTCCTATTTTATTTGGTGTTAAGTTCTGAATAATTAAAAAAAAAGATTTTAAAAAGAAGAAAAGCAAGATTTCCATAATGGAGATTTGTAGTTTTGTCTACAACCTCTCCTTCTGTTCTACAATGTATACGTATGGAAATGCTCATTTTGTTGGTGATTGTTAAATTCTGAATAAAAATAAAATGAAAATCTAAAAATAATAAAAATTTTAAATTTTCCCTAAGCCCTCTGAATAATAAAAATATTTCACAAGATCTACCAATACAGATTGCATCCCTGTCCTCGGGTCACCCACCTTAGTAGATGGGAACCAAAAAAAACCAAAGGTGGCCGGCTTTCTGATGATGAGCCTCTCTGAACTTAGTCTGGTCTTTGGATCACAGAGATATAGCCCCTCACCTGTCTTATACTTGATGTACCATGAAACAGCAGGAAAAAATAATGCATCTAGAGTTAAGGAAACTGTTCAAATTCCACCTCTTGACAATTACTGTGCGACCTGAAGCAGGTCATTTCACTTCTCTGGGACTCAGTTTCCTTATCTGTAAAATGAAGAGTTAGACCAGAAAGCTTCTGGGGGCTCTTACAGCTCTAGTTCTACGATTCAATGATTCTTTTGAGCTTGGCAGGGCCTGCTAGTAAATGGCAAAGTAAAGATGTTTCCTGGCCCATCATCATCATAGTTAGTACTTATATAGCAGTTCAAGGTTTGTAAAGCACTTTACAAATATTATTTTCATCTGATCCTCACAGCAGCCCTGGGAGATAGATGTTATTATTAGAAACTGAGGCAGAGGTCAAGTGACTTGCCCAGTGTCACATAACTAGTAAGTGTCTGAGGCAGCATTCTATCCACTGTACCACCTTCTTTCACCCAAGGGTAAAATCCTTTACACTAAGGATATCTAATGAATCACCATCTTACTCTGTCCTGCATTGATAATTTCTCATTAAACTTAAAAAATCAGTGTTTTTAGTTTCAATGGCTATAGAGATTCATTCCTTCTATATGCCTCCCCAGAGGCACAATATAAGTCTCAATCTATGAGTATGAAGTTCTACCTCCAGACCTCAAGCCAGAAGCCCTTCTCATTTTTCGTCTGTAGTGATTTCATTTTTTAATAGTTTTATTTTTTCCGGTTACATGTAAAGACACATTTTAACATTCATTTTTTTGGAAATTTTGAGTTCCAAATTTTTTCCCTCCTTAAAAACGGAAAGAAATTTGAAATAGATTATATATGTGCAATCATGTAAAACATATTTTCATATTAGTCATATTGTGAAAAAAACATACCAGAAGAAAAAAAAACACACACACAAAAAAGTGAAAATAGTATGCTTCTATCTGCATTTGGACTCCATCAGTTCTTTCTGCCAGAAGCCCTTCTACAACAGACCCCAATAAGGGGGCAATCCTAAGAGGTCATTCATTCTTTCCCAGTCTTAGCCACTTTTCAACACCCCCAAATCTTGGGGTGGGGGTGTGGATTGTTAGGAGGGCTCACCGAAGAATATCTGGGCTGAAGAGGTAGCTATAACTTTGGAGACAGTCATCAGTGGCAACGTCGGGGGGTGGACGATGAGACATGGTACCCAGCCGCTGGTCACTTAGGAGCAGGGGCACTGCAACACCTGGGAACAGGAATAGGCTCAGTACCTCCCTGAGAGGACAGCGTCAGCCCCAACCCTGCTGTTCCGTATTTCTTGCCAGATTCCAGAGATGGGAAGGTGCGGAATTAGAGGGGGTGGGAGGAAAGAGAAAGTCCAGGAGAGGGGACGGTAGCTCGGCAACCCAGGGAAAAGCAGCACTGTCCACCCCACACCCCTTCCAGGTGGATCTTGGCCGGGCATGGGACAGGTGGAATGGCCCCTCTGCTACCTGGGCTGGCAAGAGGGACGTTGTGGTGCAAAGAAAGGGACACCCGAGCCGGGAAGACTCCACCACCACCGAGAATGACCTCTGGAAGACCGAGAGAGCGACCTGGGAACCTAGGAAAGAGCCTCGAGCCACACCGCACGCGCCCACCTTCCTTCCCTCTTCACAGAACGCGTCCAGCAAAGCAGAATTGGGCGTGGCCTCCGATGACTCCTCCCCCTCCTTCCTCTAAGCATCGGGAAAGTCGAGTGAATCGCTGGGAGTTGAAGTCTTCCCGGGCCGGAAGAGAAAGGGGCGCAGGCGCAGTGTGATGCCGGTGTCTCAGGGAAGGACCTTTGGAATTCCTGGGCCTGCGCTCGTGCCGAACCTGCGCAACAAATCCCAAGCAGAGGGGGCACAGTGGAGACTATACTTCGTCTTGTGGTGGCTGGTAACATCACCGTGGATTAATGGTCACACAAGTTTACAAATGTACAGATTTACAAATCTGTAACAAAGTTTACAGATTTACAGATGACCAGAAGCTGGAAGCAACAGCTGACAGGCTGGACGACTGGCTCCCTGGGTGACCCTTGACCAGTCCCTTGCCCCATCTGAGTCTTGGTTTCATAGGATCAGATATTTAGAGCTAGAAGGGACCTCAGAACCCAACCCTCTTATGTGACCGATGAGCAATCTGAGGCCTAGAGAGGGCGAAGAGGTTACAGGCTCGAGTTTACAAAGAGTCCTAGAGACGGAGTTGGACCGTTGTGTGACCATGGGAAAATTACTTAAACTCCCTGGACCTCAGTTTCTTCAACAGTAAAATGAAGGTTGGGGAGTGGGGGTGGACTAAATGGCCTTTAAGGACTCTTCCTGCCCTAAATCTATGACCTAGTAAACCTAAAACAATATGCTAGAGCAATGAGCAATGCGCTTGTGAACTGAATAATATTAACTTTTCATAGAAATTTGTCTTTCTTCAACAAGCATTTGTTACCTGCCTCCAGTGACATACAAAGCCCTTGGTGGGGGGGGGGCTGCGGGGGAGGGGGGAGATCCCTACCTTCCAGGAGTTTCTACTAGAGAAGGGGGATAATAAAGCATATACACAGATAAGTATAACAAGAAGAAGGGAGAGCACACTAATTGAAAAGATCAAGAAAGCTTCATAAAGGAGGTGGCACCTAATCTGAATCCTGCAGAAGGTAAAGATTCTAAGAGTTTGAAATGAAGAAGTGTACTCTAGGCATGGGGGAGGAGCTGGGGGAAGGGAGGACAGTTCGCTAAAATGCCCAGAGGCAGAAAATAGAATCCCTAGTTGAGAAACCAGTTAGCTACTGGTTGGGTTTGGCAATAGCCTCCTAAGTGTTCTCCTTTCCTCAAGCTTCTCCTTCCAGTTTTCCCTGCACACACTGTCACTTCCTAAAGCACTGCTTGGAGTATTTCAGTCTCTTGTTCAAAATCCATCAATGGCTCTTTATTGTTTTGGTTTTTAATTTCCCACAGTACTTAGCATAGTGCCTGCACATAGTATCACTAATTAAATGTTTGTTGTATTGCAAAGTCTAAACTCTATAACCACCTTATATTTTAAGACCCTCCACCATCTTAACCTTTCGGGACTCATCTCCCACACTAACCTTACAGTTTAGACAACTTATACAACTTACCATTCCTCAAAAATCCTCCACTTTTTCCTGCCCCTGTCTGGGCCTTCATTGATGCTGTTTCCCCTGCCTGGAATAACCTCTCCCACAATACAACACACGCCACCCCATCAGCACCCATTTAGGCACAGCTCACTGCCACTTCCTAGAAGATGCTTTTTTTTTCCCAATCCCTGCCCCACCCTTTCATCCCTAGCTAGAAGTGATCTCTCCTTTTTCTGAACTCCTACAGCATTTTGTTTGTACTACTTAAGTCATAAGGCATTTATCACACACTGTTGTGATATAATACAAAGAAAGTTAGACTTGGAGTCAGCAAACCAGGGTCTGATTCCTGGCTCCCCCACCTGACTTCTTTGAACATCATATTCCTCACCTGAGAAATGTAGATAGCATTGCCTACCTCCCAGAGTTTCGAGAAAAATATCTCCTAACCTAGAAAGATAAGGACCATATTTCATATGTCTTCATACTCAGATAATGCTGGGTATGCATATTTCAAATACTGAACAAATACCTGCTGAATAAACAAAAGATTATGAAACAATGGCTGGAGCATAAAAGCATTTCACAATCCAGATATGGTATCTGGTTTCTTTTAAAAATTCACAATTACAAAGCTAAAAACAAAATTCTTCTTGGCTTTTGAAACAGGATAGTCTACTATTAGATAAATTAATAAACTTTATCCTCAGATTACATTATTCATTATGTTAATGTGCATCAACAGGTCTATCTAGAAAGCAGAGTGAGAAAGGTCAATGTTGAACAAGAGGTTGGAAAGAAACATTAATTTTCATATTTTAAATAACAATAGCTAGCATTTATGTAGTACTTTACAAAGCACTTTACAAACAACAAATCATTTTATCCTTACTACTTTCCTGGGATGTAGGTGCTATTATTATCCCCATTTTACAGATGAGAAAATTGAGGCCAAGAGTGGTTAAGTGACTAACCCAGGATCACAGAGCTGGTAAGTTTCTGAGGCTGGATTTGAATTCATCTCTTCTTGATTCTTGGTCCAGGGCTCTTCATACTGTGCCACAAGCCTACTCAGTGTTTTTTAAATACTAAAAGCATCTTTTCTGTTCAACAATTGCCTAGAAGTAAACATACTACCTAATCAGTAAAAACCACCGAAATAAATTTCCATTTATTGGCTATGTAGTTTAATATTAACAGAAGTCTGAGATAGCATGATTTCATGGAAAGAGGACTATGGTCAGGGATCATCTGCCAGCTCTGTTGATGAATTTCATAATTTCAGACCCGTTACTCAACCTGTTTATTCACCCGTACCAAAGGAGGTAAAATATCTCTTTACCTTTTACTAGTGGCTCTGTGGATTCTCATGATATCCCAAACTCCACATCACATCACCACACTAACAAATACTCCTTCCGCATCAGGAGTATTACCTTGAACGCATCAATCACTTCCTCATTCAACCATCACCACCACCACCACCACCACCACCATCACTACTGTTCTATTACTTCAGCCTCCCTTTTGGTATTGTAATGGCTCTTAAAGACCTTCTAGGGGATTAATAGAGGGAAATGCTCTGAGAGGTAGAGGAGGTTGTTTACTCCTAGAGCCACCATCAACAATTCAATTCAACTCTAACATGTATCGAACACCTAAAAAAGTGCTGTTAGATTCTGGGGATACAAGGACAAAAACAAGATATTGCCTGACCTCGAAGTACTTACATTCTACATTGCTTTTATGTTTATTTTTCCAAGTAAAATTTTTGGTTTTATATTCCATGAACAATTATAAACTAGACAGGCAGTTTTCAGAAAAACCTGGAAAGACTTATATGAACTGATGCAAGGTGAATGAGCAGCACCAGGAGAACATTGTATACAGTAACAGTAATATTGTGTGATGATCAACTATGAATGACATAGCTTTCCTCAGCAATACAATGATTCAAGACAATTGCAAAAGACTCATGATGGAAAATGCTATCCAAATCCAAAGAAAGAACTGATAGACTCTGAATGCAGATTGAAGCATATCATTTTTACTTTATTTTTTCATGTTTTTTTCTTTTGTTCTGTTTCTTCTTTCACAACATAACTAATATGGAAATATGTTTTGCATGATTGCATATCTATAACCTATTTCAAATTGCTTACCGTTTTAGGAAGAAGGGAGGGGAGGGAGGAAGGGAAAAAAATTTGGAACTCAAAATTTTGTAAAAATGAATGTTAAAAATTGTCTTTACATATAATTGGGAAAATTATATTAAATAATATAAAAAAGCTCAAACAACTATCATCAAATACCTAATTAAAGATATATGGCTCCTGTTTTAATTACATTCTTGGGAGTCATCTGCCTAGCCTTCATGCCAGCGTTAGGGATATGGACCGTTACTAGGAAAATCATTGCATGTTAGATATTTAATTAGAATTCAGTGAGGATGTGGGAGAGGAGTGAAGGAAGGAGAAGAAGAGTTAATAAATGTTTAAAAGGAATAAGGAAATGCCAATTATGCAAAACCCAATGATATAGTTTGAAGAAATCAGATACTTGATCTCTTTCCTGCTGCTTCTACACTTTGAGTACTTTGTTAATTCTAATGAAGAGTGGAGGAAAAGAAGAGTTGAATTCATATCAGTCAACAAAGAAGGGTATGTTGATTTTATTAACTGCTCTTTCAACGATTTTTTTCTGAACGAGATTGCCTAAAATAACTGCAAGTAAAACCTAATAAACAAACACATAGTCACAAACTAGTTTTGCAGGATTTCCGGAAATAAATAATTCTTCCCATACAAGATCAAAAGAATCTAGGCTATCTTCCAATGCAAGACTACTGAACCTCTTCAAAAGAGAGACAAGTTACAAATCTGCTCAAAAATGAAAGACAAGTTGAAGCATTATAAAGTAGCCACTGCTGGCTTTCTTAAGAAAAAAGTTAATTTCTTTTAAAGAATTAATAAGCAGCTAACCATACCTTATAGGTATCATTTGCCATTGCTATTGATAGCCAAAGAAAGAAATGAAGCCAGATAGAGCAAGCTAAAACATTATGATTTTGAGACTCTTTATACAAAAGTTAAGACATCACTGCTGTCAACCTCGCTGAGTTTGTCCTAAGAAAAGGCAAATCGAAACTAGGTTGTGTTCATGCTTTTAACTTTTCTCAAGCTGGCAACATGCATGCATTGCATGGGAGCAGGAGTCCAGAACTAGACCTCCACTGAGGGAGCCGGTCCAGAACTGGCTCAATTTGGGGGCTGGAGTACATAGTTTATGTACCCTTTGAAGAATAAGTATCCCCACGGGGTGCCAATCAACCCCAATAGGTCAACTCACTGGGAGGTGGGCTATATTAAAATGAAGGTCTTGAGGTATGTGACTCAGGTCACCCAATCTTGGTCAAAGAGACATCAATTTCCATATCCCCATCATATCATATCCCCATATCACCCAACATTTTCCAGACCTTTCTGGGCAACATAACAAGCAGGAATAGACCCATTAGATTAGAGCTTAATGTCCTTCTGAAGAAGAAACTGAACTTTGGGGGGAAAAAAGGGGGGGATGGAGGGAAGCTCTGAGTCTCCAAGATAATTACTAAGAAAAATCATTTTTCACAATACTATTAAAACAGTCCAGAACATAAAGTAAAATCTTCTGGCAAAGCATTGCAGAGTAGGGAAGGATTTCCCAGAGGGGGAACCACATGGCTTCAGAGATAGGACAGTGGTAGAGTGGTGAGTGGAACTTTTATA